TAACATTAACGTTAAATAACATTATTAATAATGTTAATTAACATTAATAACTAATAATAATAATTAACATAAATTATTTTTGCATATAAAGTTCAGATATGGTAACCTGAAGACATGGAATTGTATTTCTAGGTCAGCCAGAAGTCTTATTTTGAATCTAACTACCAAATCACAGAATGGTTTGGGTGAGAAGGGACCTTTAAGGATCATCTAGTACCAAAGCCCTGCCATAGGAAAGACACCTTCCCCTAGATCAGGCTGCTCAAAGCCCCATCCAATCCAGCCCTGAACACTTCCATGGATGGTGTATCCACAACTTCTCTAGGCCAGCTGTTCCAGCATTTCACCACCCTCCCAGTAAAAAATTTCTTTCTCATGTCCAATCTAAATCTGCATCCATTTCAATTTAAAACCCTTGCCCTGACACTAACAGCCCCTGTCAAAAACGACATTTTCTGACAGATGAACCAGAAATTCAGATAAAACCCCTAAATCCTTCTCCACAGGGCTGCTCTCAAACCATTCAACACCCAGTCTGTAGTGATGCTGATGATTGTCCCAATGCAACTGCAGACCTTCCACTGGGATCTAAAGAATGGTGGAAAGATGTCCAAGGAGATTGTGTCAGTCACAAAACCTTTCCTTACTTTGGACCAGCTTCAGCAACTTAAAGAATCCTGAAGCTGACAATCTGCAACTGTTCGTGAAGTTCTGCTTCTTGAAAACATATATATATATACACACAAGAAGCTTCATTAGCAATCAAGGAAGCTTCTCAGACACCAAATTTTTCTAGCATTTAATCACTCAGACTTTAAGAGCAGAGCTAATGTGGTTTCAGCCAATATGATTTCAACAGCTATCTGGACAGATACCTCTAAAGTAAAAATACTTTCAGTTATTTACTTTTTATTTATTGCTTTTTAAAATTTTATTATCCAAATTCCTAATCACAAAGTTTTCAGAAGTGCTTTCTAACATATTTAACAGAAGGGAAATATGTCTAGTAACACAGATATACAGAACTCCAAATATCAAAGACGAGGAGATCATCTTGCCTTTTCCTATGCAAGACAGATGAATATGAATTCATCTAGCTGATGAAACAGGCCTAGGAAAAACAGGTGAATCAAGCTCTGTAGCTATGCATTTCTGGTGCAACAAAAATGGAAACCTCTTCAGAGCAGATAAAACAAGTCTGTGATATGCTTTGATTTGCAACGTTTACTGCTGTCAGTTATTTTGAAGACAAACTGCTCAGCAAATGAAATATTTGACAACTTGAAAGATTAAGACCACCAAAAGTGTGAAGTTTCTAAAATCAACTATGGAAGTAACTGACTGAGTACCTGAATAATTACAATATTATATTGTTATATACATATAAAGAGTATATAATAATTCAAGTGCCTGTATAAACCATGAAAACACTCTTTGTGAGCACCTACCTGAACAGAGAGAGAACCAAAATACATTTCCATGAAAACTTACTAGTTATTTTAGAATCAAAAACATATTCCAGATCAAAATGTCCCATATCTCCACACTTATTACACCCCTTACCTCCCACTCTCCAAAAACTGGAAGCCCATAAAACCCAAGAATTTACTAAAACACGGGTTCATTCCAAAAACTGTTGTAGAATGATGCTCACTGAATACTGCTTTTCAGTGTTTAAGCTCACTTAGCTCAAGTTAATAGTTAGTCACTTCACTGCCTTTGGGCCTATTCAGCACCCTTATGGAAATTACCAGATCTGAGCACTGTACACCCCACAGTGTGACACCTCTCTAACACAGTCTTCACTGTTATTATATCTTTTGGGGACTGTAGGACTCCTAGTAACAAATATTTTGAGAAAATGCACTACATGATGCTGTGACACATTGTCTATACTTAAATCAGGCCAGGCTTGAGTCTCCTCAGGCCTCATCAAAAAAAAAAAAAAAAAAAAAAAAAAAACAAAAAAAAAAACAAAAAAAACACCAAAACAGCTTATCTGTGATTCCCCTGCCTAATACTAAATCAAGTGCATGGAAGTCCCAAAGAAACAAATTTGTCACAGACAGTTGCAACCTAAACTCATTTTCTTATTCTGTTTTTTATTACATAAGAGCAAACAGGAAAAATAAACACATCTCTGCCCTGCACTTGGGCTTTATGAATTTCCTTCCTGCAGCATGTAAATTGAAGTTACAAGGCCCTCAGTGTGCCTTTTCCGCCTGCTTGCTCTGTTGTCAGCACTCTTCTCCCACACCTTCCTGAAACGGTAACAAACACATCTTCCTTTGTATCAGGCCCCACCCCCACCTTCTTTTCTTAGAGTTCTCATACTACTTCACATTTAAATTTAGACTCTTTCTAGCATACAGAACATAGCTTATGACAGTCACCAAAACCCAAAACGGCTACAAAGCTGATTTAAAGGTTAGGCCATGTCTTGTCTGTTAGTCTACAAAGGGTACAAACTGATGGGGAAGAAATATAAGAGCAGAAGAAAAATGGAACCAAGTTAGAGGATAAAACCATCCTAAGAGAAGCCAAGAGCACTGCTGGGACTTTTCATGGTACAGCCAAATAAAATGTTCCCTGAACCTAAATGAACCACAGCATTTTAAACCTCCACATACAGAGTATTAGATGCTGAAGTGTCTGTGTATCTGCTATTCCTGTATTTCCACTCAGACACACACAGTTAGCTACCACCTTTGCTTAGGAAAAGCCAAAGCAGTTATAAGGAACATCAATGCACAACTTTAATCAAAGATAAAAATATTTTAGATTTTTAAAGTTTTACTAGAAAGAATTGTTGTATGTAGTCGGAGCAGAAGAATATGATTTAACTTTCTTGTTAAGTGTACCACTAGACAAAGTCTTTTAAACTTCCCTCTTTAACTGAGACTTGCAGAGAGGAGAATGGGGAGTTCATTTCAGAAGGTATTCAAATGCAGATCAATCACACCTACACCTAAGCATTTCTTCCTTAAAAGCATATCCATACAGATTTTAATGGATTTGTTATATAAATAGTACTTTGGGCCAAGAATGATGCTTGCAGTGTGAATCATCACATTAAGAACTGGTGTAAAATATTTAAGCCGTTTAGAAAATGTTAGGATACTTAAATTCTTCTATAGAAAAGACCCCAAGAACGAGTGAAGCAAAGTATATGTCCTGCCAGCAGTTAAGACTGATATATTGACCAAACATATACAAAGTTAGCTTACCAAGTGATTTCCTCAGAAGCAGCATTTCTTTTTTAATTGATAATAGTTTAAAAGAAATTACCAAAAAAATTGTCACTTCAAAGGACCTTAAAATCTGTAATGCAAACACATGTTCTGAAACTTTCAACAAGCATGACAGGAAGCATCCCAGCAAGTTCATTCCCAAACTGACTACAGCTTAGCTCCTAATCACAATTAAGATAACTGAAATGGGGCAAATCCTTAAACTGATTATAAGATTAAGGAATACAGTTAAAGATACTACCAACTGCATGTCCGATACCTGCCAACTCCTTCCTACCACTGCAGGAAGGTTTCCATAGAACTGCCAGCACTTCAGCACATACTAACAAACTGAGCCATGGTTAATGTAAACTCTGAACTCTTATCTGACTTTATACTCTTGACACCTATCAATAGTACCTGGCTGTAAAAATGTCTGATAAGTCTCGAGGTATCAAAATTGACACACTATATCCCAGGAACCAGAGGCTTCCTCATTAGCTGTGGCTCTAAGATGACAGATAGGTAAAGCAGATCAAGAGAAGCAAGCCAACTAGAAGATGCAGTGCTATTTTCCTTTGTGACAGCAGCATCCACAAGGCTCTGCTTTTATCTAGGGATGTAGGCTTGATATGCCAACACTTCAGAAGCTCACAAACCTGTAATAAGTTAAAGAGAGTAAACAATATTGTGAACTTGCCCAGATTCTTGCATTATTCTTGTAATCTATTCGCCGCCTTATGCTCGAGCAAGCTTTCTGCCAAGAACCATGCAGAAGAAAATGAAGAATGACTATTAAGAGCTATCTCCACCCCCACACCTCCCTTCCCTTCCAACCCCAAATGTCAGAGTTCATACGAGGAACAAATTCAATTTATTTGTTCCTCTCTCTGACAACAGGGAAGCCAGGGAAAAAAATACACTAAAGAACTTCCATCACTTGCTCCAAAGAAAATAAGCCCTCTACTTCAGTGTGAAAGCACAAATTACACTTGGTACTATTTAAGGACATCTCTAGGCGTATCTAAGGACCCAGAAGTATCCCAAGCAAATTGCTTGTATTTGGCATGCAGTTTACTGCGGTACTAAGTGAACTAAATGAGGACTAAAAGAGCATCCAATTCTGTCGATCAGCCACCAAATGACGTTGGTTGGTTTTATATCAGGAAGTGGTATGGCTTGCTTTCCTATGCGGTTTTAACACTGACAGCACTGGTGAGATCCAGCTATTAGGTGTGATCAATTAGGGAAACAACAAGCGAGCAGGCCTAGCACAACCACCAGTTTAAAATGCATTTAAACACCTGCCCCCACCTGTAAGGGCTTATTAATCGCATTGTATGCGACTGTCAGCGCTGCAGTGCATGACCACAGCATAAGAAGACCTCAGTCTTTAAAAAAGCTGCTGTAGAGAGAACTGGTGTCAAAGCTATTTGACGTCCTGTGCTCACACAGAGGAGCGGCACTCACGAATTCCGCCTTTGTGGAAAGAAAGGCTCCGCCGCCCCTGTGACAGCCGGCGGGGCACAGGGCAGCGCCGGCAGCGAGAGATGACAAGCGTGAGGCAGGGCTGGGCAGGCGCCTCCTTGGCAGGAGCCGCTCTCCCGGCACACGGGCACATTCACGCACCCTCAGCCCAACGCTGGGTAAACAAAACACCAGCACGGAGCCGAGCAGGGCGGTGACTCAGCCAGGAGAGCGAGATTCGGTCCCACAGGGTAAGGAATTCGGGGAGACGTGACCGGGGGCCCATCGGCGCTCCGTACTCACCAGCAAACAGTCCACGTTCACTTCGGATTTGGGGTCCTTCAAAGTCACGTCGATTTTCTCAAACCGAGACTCAAAACTCTCTCCCGTCGACATGTTTCCGGAGTTAAAAAGTTTCCCTTATTCCAGAGCAAAGTTAAGGTTAAAAAATAATAATAATGATAAAGTAAAAAAAAAAAAAAAAAAACCAGGAACAGGCGAGCACAAAAGAGAAACTGCAGCCTGCACCCGGCTGAGGAAGCGCCTCCTGCGAGATCCCTTCAATCACAGAAGTCTCTGGGGCAAGTCCCCGCCAAGGGGGCAGAGAATCCAAGGGGAGCCCGCAGCAGGCGGGGGACGAGGCTGCTTCTCCCCCTCCTCCAGGCACGCACGCAGTTTCCCGGGATGCTCACAGCTCCGCAGCAGCAGGTTTCCTCTCCCTCCCTCCTCTGCTCGGGCCCCACCGCCTCAGCATTCCCATTTTCCCAGCCGGGGAAGCCGTCCTGGGCTCCAGCGTAGCGGTCCCTCCTCCTCGCCCTGCTGCTGCAGCGCCGGCGGGTCGGTGCCAGGTTCCGGAGCGCGGCTTTCTTTCCGGTGAACCAGAAGAAACAACAGAAGAGGGGAAGCAAAAAAAAAAAGGGGGGGAAAAAAAGAAATAAAAAAAGAACAGAAGAAAGACAAAAGCCTGCAGCCACACCAACAAGGCAAAAATGGATGGAAAAATAAAAATTAGGGGAATCCTCTCGACGGCATGTCTCAGCGCCGTGGGGTCGGTCCGTCCGTGGGCACAGGGCGAGGAAGCGAGGAAGGCACCGGGCGAGTTGCCCCCGCGGGCGGCGGACGAGTAACCTCACCGGCGGAACGGCCGCAGCAGCATCTTTCTTCCTCTCCTCCTCTCGCTGCCTCCCGCCGCTGCCAACGCCGGTTCAGCCCCTCCCTCTCCGCCTCTCGCTGCCTCACGGACGGGACGGCAGCCCTGACCGCCTCAGGACGGACCCGAGGTTGCGGCGTGAGAGGGGAGGGAAGGAGGCGGCTTAAGGGGAGGGGAGAGCGTGAGGTCCGGCGGCTGCAAGGGAACCTGCGAGAGGCACCAACATGTCCGCCTTCCTGTTTGAACAGTGGGACGGGGCGCATGCGCGGGGGGGAACGGCTCCGGTGCCGGCGGGGACGGGACGGCGGCAGGAGGTGCGCGCGCGCGCTTGGGAAGGAATCACAGTCACCGAATCGGTGAGGTTGGAACAGACCCCCGAGACCACCCAAGCCAATGTGTGACCGAACACCACCGTAACAACCAGACCAGGGCACTGAGTGCCACACCCAGTCTTTTCTTAAACACCTCCAGGGTAGTCACCACCACCTCCCTGAGCAGTCTATTCCAGTGTCTAATCACCCCTTCTGTGAAGAAACTCTTCCTAATGTCCAATCTAAACCTCCCCTGGCGCAGCTTGAGGCTGTGTTCTCTGGTCCTGTTGCTTGTTGCCTGGGAAAAGAGGCCGACCCCCAGCTGGCTCCAGCCTCCTTTCAGTGGTTGTAGAGAGCGGTAAGGTCACTCCTGAGCCTCCTTTTCTCCAGGATAAACACCCCCAGCCCCCTGAGCCGCTCCTCGTGGGATATGCGCTCCAGACCCTTCACCAGCCTCGTTGCCCAAGTGAAGGAAAAAGCGAGAGCGGGCGGGAGGCAGCGCGCTCGGCTCGGGCCGGCCCCCGTGGGACAGCCCGGGATCCCCTTTCCGGGAGCCGCTGTCTTTGAGCGCCCGCCCCCGCCCGGCGGTTCCGGCGGGAATTGCGCGGAGCCCAGGGGCCGCATCCCGCCGGGAAAAGCGCCCCTTTTTGCGGGCTCCCCGTGCCATGGGGGGGGATGTTGCCGCCGCGTTTTCCCCCCGGCTCCCCGGACGCGCCTCAGCGCTGGTGGCTCCCGCCGCCTCGGCACGGCACGAGCACAGGCACGGGGGAACAAGTGGCAGTGAGGGTCACCCCAAGAGCTGTTGCGGACTCCGTCCTTACGGATCTTCAAAAGCCAGGCCCTGGGCAGCCGCTGTCGGTGGTCCTTAGGTGAGCCCTCGCTGCAGGTATTCCAGAACCACATGGGCACAATCCTTTGCCATGTTTTTTGGGATGATCCTGCTTGAGCAGGGAGATTGGACCAGATTGCCACTGTAGTACCTTTCCAGCTTGACCCATTCTGTGATTCTGCGGTTCTGTCCTACATGATCAGGGGGACTGGAGAAGCTGGCCTCCAGAGATCCATTTCAGTGGCAGCCACTCTGCCATCGTGCGTGTCCAGGGAAGGAGAGGCCAGCTTCCACAGTGCCAGAAGTTCCAAGCATTCTGCTTTATGTCCAGACAACAGCAAGGTAGCACACCAACAGAAAGAAGAGATACCAGCACTAAACATGTAACCTGTGCAGCCTGTGCTGGTGTTTCCAATTCAAACCTTACCCTCAGACTGCAGCAGGGATCTTTTCTTCAAATAAGGAAAAAAATCACAGTCCCGTAGCCAACCTCTGACCAAACACCACCATGTCAATTAGAACATGCCGCTAAGTGCTACATCCTGTCTTTTCTACAACACCTTCAGGAATAGTGATTCCACCATCTCCCTGGGCAGTCCATTCCAATGTTTAACAACCCTTTCTATGAAGAAATTCCTCCTAATGTCCAACCTGACCTTCCTGTGGGTCAGCTTGAGACTCGAGCAAAGTAATGATTTCAAATATTACTGGACAGAGGCCACTGTACTGTTTCAGTTCTTTGACTTCCACTGCAGTTCCATAAATGGCAATGGCATTCTTACAGAGATCACTATAAATTGCTTAGAGATTGTCAAGTCATTGATCTCTGGTCACCGAACAGTTGCCAATAAGAAACCTGAATCATTAGCACTATAAGTTATTTTCCATGTCTTGGTTAGGAAACAAATTACCAGCCAAGTGTTAGAGCGTTTGAGCTATTCAGTATTGGATGTCAGTACTTGCTGTCTTGCTTTATTCAGAAAAAATAAGAAATGGCATTCTACATTTTGCTTTTTCTTATCCACAGCTGTCTGCATCTTTGTTTTTGTTTTCTGCTGAGAAGTATGTTCAGTTAAAGCAAAAATACAGGCTACAGCAACATTTCCTGCTCTGTTGTTTTGTGCTGGCTACTACCACAGCCCTTTGATTCAGAGGATTTGGTTGCTCTTGGAAATGCAGATGTTCCATTTCAGCAACCACAGTCCAAAGAGAACATTTCTGCAAGCTACAGGGTGTAGGCTTGGGATCATTTCATATGTGAAGCAGTAAGTAATTTCTAAAATACACAGAAAATGTTTCTTGCAATCTTCATCTCAAGCAAGATGAAAATCATCACTAGAGATATAGAGCCTAATTCACAGTGCTCTTTATATAGGTATTAGGGATGATGCCAGGCCTGAGCAGGTGATTTGAGGCACCTAGCTGAAAACAATGCAAAATTCATGAGCCTGTAATAGTGTATGGAAAAGGAAGCCTGATTCTGCAGCTTAGTGGGCAGGATCACCACTATGATCAACAGGTGCCACTTATGTTTTATCCAATGTCTGCGGGAAAACTTACAGGTACTCTTGGAAACGCAAAGCACCTTGCATCCTCTCCAGATCTCCCTGCAACAAAGCTACATGGGTCTTGCTCTCTCTTGCTCTTTGCTTCTTTGCATCTTATTTTTTTTTTCATAGTGGCTCAGATTCAACACAGAAAGTGGAGGGAAGCACCATCCCATTGTTTGGCAACTTGGAGAATTCACAGAGATGAGAGCTGGGCATCGAACAGGCCCAGCCTCACATGTTTATTTGCCAGTGAAGGATCTTGTCTCTGGAGCACTTCTACTTCACCCGAAAACTTCTACCACTGTTTGTGGTGAGCAAAGCTGCTGTGTTTGTGTTCATCTGCGTGCAAACTCTGTGTGTTTCAAACATGTCTGTCAGACTGGGCTTTTCTCACAACTGTGGTGGACTAAAAGTGCTTGTCTGTCTGTCTCAAATAGAATAGAATTTGTGTGGGAGGTACTCATGCAGCTGTCTAGGAAACTCTGAGCACTGCTTTGAAACTGTAAAAGGCAATTTGGCTACCAGCATCAAAAAGGATAATAGATTCTAATTTTTAAAAGCAGGTATGGGTTAAGTGTCCAGTGTGATAAGTACCCACGTTGTAACGTGAGAGTGTAATGTAATAGTTTTTAATCCAGAGAACACTCATTCACATGCTGGGATCTTAAAGCCCATTTTCACTTACTTCAGTCAGACTATTTGTGTCTATATGCTTAGGAACTTACATATTTCTGGCATTGGCCCCTTAGAAATCATAGGAATCCCCATCCTACACAACCAGCTACTGCATTGAACTTTTGAACATTGAATTGTTTTATCTGCCTGATAAATAAACTAAAAATGGGTAATTTCTTGTTGCCTTTGTTATATCACATTTTGGATTGAACTAGGTTTTCTTGAGTGAGATAGGAATTACTCAACATATACATGACCTGAAAACACTGAGCTGATAAAACATGGAAACCTAAAGGATCATTTTTTCTCTCTTCAAAACCATATCATCTCTAATTCTTGAAAGTGTTTCTAAGTAAGTTGATGTCCATACAAAGTAAACTAACAAACTGATAAGCCTAATAAAACTAAAATCATGGTCCCCATATCCATATTCTCTTGCCTATTTTATAAGATATTTAAATGTTCTTGATTCTTCTGTAATACAAATTGACACTGACTTAAGAACTGATTGTTTGGCAGAGATTGAAATTTCTTATTAAATACAGAATATCAGTAAACTGTCGAATGACTACACTGGCTTCCTCTAAACCATAATAAAATACTTATAAAAAGTACAAGTAATACTGTTTATTTTGCAAATAACATTCTTGTACATGAGAGTAATAAAACTGTGCATGTAAGAGGTTTCAGTAGTGCTCATTTCAGGAACATTTAGCAAACAGCAAGAACACAAGAACACTGGAATACTCAAAGTATTGGCTCAGCCCTCTCTGAGCAGGTACTGTTACTCCCATTCCCTTGTGAAAAAGCTAAGAAGAATTAAGCAAAAGAGTTTGTAATAAAGTGAAATGCCATTTACATTTTTCAGGTCACTGAGTGTGCACATTAAAAAGTATACACTCTCAGAATGAGAGAACAGGCTGGGACACCCGTGTTCCTGAAGTAGTTGCTGACCTCAGAAGAGTTGCACAAGACAGAAATGAGACTATATCCTGTTCACCATATTAGGCCAAGTTAGTAATGCATGAGGTCCCCTCACATTCAGCTTCCAATTTAGTCAGCATGAAGGTTAAATCACATCATATTAAGCCTGCCTTCAGTCCACCGCCCTCTCTCCTTCTTTGCCCTGCAAAACTGGCTTAGTTTAGCCTCTGCTCTAGTCCTAGGGACAGTTAATAGCACAGGCCAGCATGGCTTGAAGCCCTGGGAGGAAAACTGGTCAACAAATCCAGTCCTTGGGCAAAATATTTTATCATTGCTAAAGCCCATCTGTGCAACAGGCTACTTGCAGGAGCTTCCTGCTTCAGGCAAGGTGTGATGGATGCTCAAGCAGACATCTGAACTGACTTTGAGTAATGATAAAGTCACACTAGCATTGATCTTAGTGTG